GTATCGTTTGACCACTAATTGATAGCTGTTGTTCAACAATCTTCTTTGCTCCAACTCATAAAAAATGTCGATGATGATTTGTCTGCGAACATTGTTGATTTTTTTGAAGTAAGCCATTCCTCGACTTCTGTCAATTACGGCGAGGCTGATGAATTCAGCTGTTCGATGTCACTGTTAGATGTTTGTATGTATATTGATATCGTCGGTATATGTTAAAAGGTTTATACCAGAGAAGGGCTCTAACAGAGTGCTCATGTAGAAATTGTGTTACTACTGGCTGGAAATTGTGTTACTACTGGCTGGCGTTGATATTGATACTCCGTAGTTAAGTACATTGCACCCAATGACCTTGTAAGTAACAATTTGAGCAACTCCAATTAGTACCAGACAGAATTTAAATGAAGTTATTACGTTTTTGAAATTTCACATATGTGTAAGGATGCGTTGTGAGAAATTGAGCTTGCTGTCAAATGTTACCCCCAAAAAATATGGTGTTGTCTTCAGGGGGGATCGTTTGACCACTAATTTATAGCTGTTGTTCAACAATCTTCTTTGCTCCAACTCATAAAAAATGTCGATGATGATTTGTCTGCGAACATTGTTGATTATTTTGAAGTAAGCCATTCCTCCACTTCTGTCAATTACGGCGAGGCTGATGAATTCAGCTGTTCGATGTCACTGTTAGATGTTTGTATGTATATTGATATCGTCGGTATATGTTAAAACGTTTACACCAGAGAAGGGCTCTAACAGATTGCTCATGTAGAAATTGAGTAACATAGGCGAGAGTACTCCGCCTTGAGGCACACCATATTTGACGCTACGCAACTTCGATTTGGAGTTCCGGAACTCCACAAAGCTGAAGCGCCCTCAAACACAAGCAATACAATCACCCAATGTATAAAATCAGACCTTAAATATCACGGTAAAAACTTCAACTCTGCTTAGGCCAGATATGTGGAATCGAATATGCTATCCACAGCTTGAGGGACGAGTTTGAAAAACCGGAAACGGATAGAGAACTTGCTCAAAAAATTGCAGAAATCCTTCGTCCGGCACTACATTATGCGCTGGCCACTTCATATAAACATCCCTCAAATTTACATGTCAAGAACACGGTTTTGACATCTACCGAAGGCACAAGGTAAGTTGATCTCCTCGCAGTGGCTTTGTACGGAATTGGAATAATCTCACTGATCGAGCTCCTGCAAAAACCAATTGTCACCCAAGAATGGTACGCAGATGACGGAAGCGCTAAAGGTTCTCCGCGCACCTTAAACATTAAGGTTCTCGGAAACCTTAAGGTTCTCCGCGCAATACTGGACAACCTGGATAAGCATGAAAGGTTTTCGGCTACAATGTAAAGTTTTCTAAGTGTCAACTCCTCGCATAGGAAAAATGTCGAAAAAGCGCCATAAAGGTATTCGAAGGCACAATTATTAGAATAGTAGACGGTTTTAGATTCCTTGGCTCGGTTATAGGAGCACCATCAAAAAAATTTAAATAAATAAAGTTCAAAATGAAAAGAATTCAAAATAAATAGAACTTTATAACCAGAACAACTCCGGAAGCAATAAAGAAAATGAATGAAACTGAGAAAAACGTAAGAGAGCAGCTTCTTCTTAGTATTACTAGTGAAAACCATATAATCCTTGTTTTTGATTTTTGTAATTCAATTTTAAAATTTAAATTCATTTAATTGTCTGTTATTGTTTTTTATCTGCTGATTTATAAAATACCACTAACCGCTTATCATGGGTTAGTTCAGTCCCCTAAAATCTTGTCAAAGTCCTTTTTTTTACCTTTATGCTGAAAAAACAGCAAAGAGTGTACAAGCAAAGATTGCTTAAAACCTTCCGGACTGATAAATTGGGTTGGATGTGATTGTTGTTCTAGTTGGTATCATATCAGTTGTGTAAGTATTTCTCTTAGTGACTCTAAGAAAACCCAATGGTCCTTTATGCGTAGATGTAAAATCTGTTAATAAAGAAACAATAGCGAATGATTTAGTGCTAGACAGTTATGTTAATACAGCACTCTCAGATGTCCGAGTACTCAAGAGAGTACCAAAAGACTCACGTGTTCCCTTGGCGGAAAGTCTGTCGGTCAAAATAAATGACATCGTCTGCAATGTAGAAGATATTACAAAATGGCTAAGTTTTTTTAACGCCCTTCTTGTTTTTTTGGAGCAACCGAAAAGAAGTGGACGCAAACATTCCACAAGCATGAGCTCTTTGATAAATAAAAAAATTCGGAGCAAATTACGTGTCACTTCCAAAACCCCATCCCCAAATTTCAAGCCCGCCTCTGAGTGACCTTGAGCAGAGAATAAAGCTAATAAGTAGTAAGCTCGGTGAAGGAAATGTAAAGGGAGGAATAAGGCTTGCTGCTTCGGATGACAAAATTGCTCCTTTTTCAAGTGATAACTATCAAAAATTGTTGTCTAAGCACCTTCAGCGAGCTAAATTTGCAGCTCCAAATCCAGAAAAATTAGATAGTTTTTTCGTAACCGATTTTGACCTATACAAAGCGAGAATGTCCTTTCCGAACGGATCAGCAGCAGATCCTGATAAAATAGTTCCTCAAATTTTTGAAGTTCTTGTTACTAAGTCGAATGGCAGTGCAGGACTTAATTTTATGAAATCGCTTACTAAGCTGATAAACCTCATTGGAGATGGCAAAATACCCGAAGCCCCAAGACCTTTCTTTTTTGGCGCAAAGCTCATCGCCCTCATAAAGATAGACGGAGGGTTGAGACCGATTGCCATAGGCAACACGCTGAGACGTATCGCGTCTAAATGCGCTGGAAGCAAGGTCCTCTCCGAGCGACCAAATTTTTCGGAAACGTACAGGTAGGATGCGGTACCAAACGAGGAGCAGAAATAGCTGCACACTGGTTTCGAAAGCTAATTGAACGCGGCGACAATCCAAAATGCACTGTTCTTTTAAAACTAGATTTTAAGAATGCCTTTATCTCTCTAAATAGAGAAACAATGCTGAATCATGTTTATTCAAATCGCCCCGAATTGTATAATTACACCCATTGCGCGTATAGTAAACCTAGTTACCTTTTTTACGGAAGCTCTGTCATAATGTCAGAAGACGGAACTCAGCAAGGTGATCCTGAAGCCCCACCCCTTTTTGCGGAAACAATTCAGACACTAGTCAACAGTTGGAGTCGAAAATTAACATCTGGTATTTAGATGATGGAAATTTAGCCGACGACTATAAGGTAGTTTTCCGGGACCCTAAAAACATTCTGAAATCGGAACAAATTTACGGCCTGAGCTTGAACATTGAGAAACGAGAACTTTGTTTTTTTTTCAGGACCGACTACGAGTACTCAGTATAATTCAATTTTAACACAATTTCGAAAAATATGCCCAAAATACAAATAAAAACAAAAGAAGAACTCCTCATTTTAGGATCTGTTGCCGAAAAGAATTGCTCGACGAAAAGATTAGGGAGCTTGACAAAATCTCGGATTTCATTGACAAACTAGACGCCCATTATGGCTTTTACCTCCTGAAAAATTGCTTTAGCATGCCAAAACTCCTCTGTTTTTTTTGCGTACGAGCCCTTGTTTTTTGCAAAAAAAAGATTTTTTTGGAACGCTACGACAAATTACTAAGAAAATCGTAATGCAAGGTCACTAGTGTGAAAATGGATGATAACCAGTTTTTACAAGCAGTTCTCCCGGCAGCCAAAGGTGGCTTGGGCGTTTCTTCCGCTCGTCTACTTGCTTTACCAGCTTTCTTAGCCTCAGCAATAGGAGCAAAAAATGCCTTGAGCGCACTCTTTGGTTTGGAGCATGTGGATGGAACCTATGATGATGCGCTTAAACGGTGGGTTGAACTTGTAAAAATTGAAATGGCTCCGGAAATTGAAACCCAAAAAAAATTGGACAGAGCCAATTTTTGACAGCGAAATTGCAGACTTGATTTTACGACTCGAACCAACGGACGTAAAACAATTCAACGCGTTCCAAGATAGATTTGGCTCACAGAGGTTGAACGTCATCCCGTGCAAAAGTTTAAAGTTAAAATTGTCGAGCAAACAACTCGATTGCGATAGGACTTCGATTAGGCTCGAAAATATGCGAACGGCATAAATGCGTGTGCGGAAAAGACGTTACCGAGGATGGTTGGCATGGTCTTTCTTGCCTCAAAAGTGCAAGGAGGTTCTCTAGGCATTCAAACCTGAATGCCCTTATAAAGCAGAGTTTATCTTCTACTCACATTCCGTCTGTTTCGGAACCACGACGCCTCTACAGCATTTGTAATTTTCAACATTTGTAATTTTTTTCTACTTATGTTTTTTATGCTTGTGTTGTATCGCAAGTGGTGCGAAGCTCTGCTTAGCCTCTGTTTTATTATTTTACATGCCGTGCCTAATTGATGTGAAAAAATAAAGTTGCTTACCTTCGAGTCGCATAATAGTTTTTGATGGTGCCAAATAACTGCCGGTGCATGCCTTTCGTTCGTAATTGTTTTCCGAGGCTCCTCGAAGGCCAATATGTCATAAGGCAAGTAGTTTCAGGCGGAAATGCCGAAGAAGAAACCTAATGCTGCTAGTGATAAATCAGGGGATACTAGCTCGAAAAAAGAGAAAGGTGGTGGATCTTCATCCGTAAAAGTTCGTCATATCTTATGTGAAAAACACTCTAAATGCATGGAAGCTATGGAGAAATTGCGAGCTGGTGAAAAATTCAATGTCGTTGCTCAACAGTATAGTGAAGACAAAGCTAGGAATGGAGGTGACTTGGGCTGGATGAATCGAGGTTCTATGGTTGGACCATTTCAAGATGCCGCTTTCGCTCTTTCAACCAGTACACCAGATAATCCTCAATATACTGATCCCCCTGTTAAAACTCAATTTGGTTACCATATAATTATGGTTGAAGGAAAAAAGTGAAAATTATTTTAGTGTAGTTAATGTGCATTTTCCTAATCAAATTTGAGCTACCACAAAAATAGGATTTTATTTGATTTTATTTTCAGATCAGATTGTTTCAAATTCTACAGGAATTTGCTTACAGCAAGAAAATGGCAACCAAAGTAAGTTTGTTTTAATTGATAGAGCGTTGAGTTTCCTCGTGACTTCCATCGAGAAGATTCATGTTTTTTCCACGGAGACGTAGGTGCATCCATTTATATAGTCAGGTGGAATCCCAAGTAATATGGTATCTAACTTAACATCGAGTTTCGTGAATAACAGTCGTAAGACTATTTGAGAGCGAAGATTGATGCGACAAAATAACAACGGTTGTAAACATTCGAGCTTTCTATGGCAAATTTAATTTAAAACACCCAATTTTTGCCTGAAATTTTGTTTCAAATATTTTAAAGCTCAAAAACTTTTCTCTGCGCAACAGTTGTCTGATTAGTTACCACTTGGAAAAAATATCAATTCTAATATATCACTGGTCATTTTGTTATTCGATATGTTTTCCTAAAATTGATTTTACTCGAGACAAACGTATCGAAACTTTTGATGATCTTTTTTTGCGACCTTTTCAAATTGTATATAATTTTTTGATTCTTAGGCTTTCGCCTTATTCTTTTTTTTGTATCGCAAGTAGTGCGAAGCTCCGCTTAGCCTCTGTGTTAAATTAATTTATCAAGTTCAGTGCACATTCAGCTGTATGAGAAAAATAATGGAATTGGCTCAGATTATGGCGCCGGATTGTTAGTTTCAAAATCTAATCTATCTATACTATATTTAAATGCGAGTGACAGCTATCTTCCATGTTTAAGCGTAATAATTTTGCATGTTTAACGAAAGAATTTTTTCATGTTTAAGCTATATCATATATTGCAATGCTTAAGAAAATTTTTCAATTAGTTTTTCGCAAGGTCATTAATTTTTCACTACTTTTTTTTCGAGGCGAAGTTAAGTCTGTCTGTCTGTATACCTGCTTTTGTAATTAATTTGATTATGTCTGTCTACCCGTCGCCTAATTTTTAAACTTTTTTCTATTATCTCTCTATTATATATTTAAATGCGGGCTTCACTATCACGCCATGTTTAAGCTTTTCAACGTATTATGTTTAAGAAATGAATTTTTTCACGTTTAAGCCATATCGTATATTGCAATGGTTAATGTTTTTTCAATTTTCCACTTTAAATTCAGTGTTTTTCCATCAAGTTTGAAATTAGCAACCCAATAGTAGGATATTTTCAGAGTTTTTTCAGGTTTTGCGATTCTGGCCTCTATATATGAATAACCAAATCCTTTTAGTTTACGAGATAAGCAATTTTCGAGGTTTTTCCAAAACTTTCTTGAAAATTTAATTTTTTTTTATAATTTCTCAATTTTTGAAATTCTCACCTTGTAGTTGGGTGCTGTCAGAGTACTCTCAGGGGTTGCGAATCTTGCCTCCAATTCTCACTTCTCAAATCCTTTTCGAGATATGACGTTTTTATGATTTTTTCAAAAATTATTTTCAAAAACTTGAGTTTTAAAAAGTTCCAAAATGTTGAACATCTCAATCCTGCTGTTGGATATTGTGAAAGTACTCTCAGGGGTTGCGAATCTTGCCTTTTGTTTTGGCTGCTCAAATCCGTGTAGTTTTCGAGATATAACATTTTTTTTTCAAATTTTTTCAGAAAACTTAGATAAAAAATTTCACAAAAACTTGAAATTACCATCTCTGTAGTGAGGCTCTGTCAGGGTACTCTCAGGAGTTGCGAATTTTGCCGCCAAATACGACTGCTCAAATTCTTGTACTTTTCGAGATATGACGTTTTTGATGATTTTCTCCGAAATTTTCAAAAAACACAAATGTTAAAAAATTCCAAAACTTTGAAGATCTCAATCCTTTTTTTTGGAATGTGTGAGTATTCTCAGGGGGTTGTCAATCTTTCGTCTGAATATGGTTTCTCAAATTCTTGTAGTTTTCGAGATATGACGTTTTTCATGATTTTCTCCGAAATTTTCAAAAAAAAACTTAAATCTTAAAAGGTTCCAAAACTTTGAAGATATCAATTATAATATTCCGTATCTGGCGGATGGATAATACGGGTATACTGTCGTCTACTGTTATGCGAGCTGTTCAATTGGTAATGTTATTTAGCACTACTGGCTATCAATTGTATTTAGATTGGATTCATTATTTAGATATGTCTCGAGCGGTAAAGACCTATCTTGCTTTAAAGGATGCTGGTTCCGATTCCTAGCTTCTGATATTTCGCAAGTCGATCGGCGCAAGTAAGAGCATGATTGGTATAGTTTATTAAGTTGATCTCTATTCAATTGATTCGTAGCTCGGTATAAATCTCCAATGATTGGTATTAATTACCATCAATGTTTACATAGTTAAATAAATATATGATGCAGCTCTATTTTAACATCAAGGTGAATTATGTAATCTATTCGGTTCAGATGGTTAATTAGAATGAATGACATCATGAAGGGATGATGTCACACAACCTCACAAGAGGAAGTCTTCCCGGGTGGTTGAAGTGTTTCATCAGATACATTTACAATAATTCACATAATAATTTAAGACTGCTTTGATTAAGAATATGTACAAGTATCAATATGGTATGGGTCTATCAAAAGTTATATCGCAATAATTTAATAAACTCATAGTATTAGAAGCACAGTTTATTAATTCAATTTATAAAACGAGAGAAGATAAATTATTTTAAACTTAAATGGGAGATAATTTTTAAGCAAGCCACCTTGAGTCGGGGTATGGGAGTTAAAGTGATAGATGATAAGGATAAATTAATGATATCATGATGTATTCAGTTGTCAACTGTAACTAAATTTCCACGGCAAGAACTGTCGTGTGGAGTAGCTGAATAGTTTTGGTCGTCGTTTCGTTTTAATTTTTGATATCGCTGTCTTCGTTCGTTGTTGCCTTTCATTCTTTTTGTGCTCGTTTGATGCTGAAGTCTTTTTGATATGAGGCGGTGTGGTTCCAATCGTTGCCTCATAGATTGTGAATTGATTATCAACAACTTAACAGTGATATGTTTTGTTGATTTCTTCACGATTTCTTTTGAAAATTTTCAACTAGCTTAGCAATTAGTACTTTATATTACTTGCTAAAAGGTTGATATTTCATTTACTGTTCGTTGTCTATTTTTCAGAAGTCTTCATCGTATGGGCGTTTTGTGCCTTTATTGGCCTTACTCCCTGAATGAAGGTGATCGACTTTTTTCTTTGAAAAAGTCAAAATTACACATTTCTACGATGTTTTTGCATTGATCGCGATCATCGTATTGTGTGTAGTGTCTGGCTTTTTGTTTTTTTTTTCAGTTCTTTTCTTCTACTGTAGCTGCACTTCACTCCTATAGGCTATTCAGACAATTTGCTGGTTCGCCTGAGCAAAATTTGGCGTCAGTTAGAGTAGTTGATAAATTACTTTTTTTTTTTTTTCCATTAATTTCGTTTATCTTTTTTTGATATCTTCTTGGCATTCAAGATTCGTGTGTTGTTCTTCAGTATCACTGACAACCTTTTAGGGTTGCCTAACAAGCACATTGGATGTTTGTTGGCTCATTTGAACGCTTTCTTTCTGAATTTCTGCGAAGATATCCCTCGAATTTTATATTTTTTCTTGTTTTGCCTATCATAATACATGGGAATAGTGTAAATTGATGTATTTCTCCAAATTTTGATCTGCTAGTGGATCGACTTCCTGCCTGTTCCTTATTGGTGGTCTAATGATTACTGAGCCCAAAAAATTTCTTTCTTCTCTAGCTAATATTTTTGGGGGGAGCAGAATCTTTTTATTCGTAATGTTTAAACGTTGGCAACAGGTGGATTTTTCGAGATCTCGCGAAGTTGACTTCTCCTAGTGAGCCGACTTCCTGCCTGTTCCTCATTGGTCGTCTAATGATCACTGAGCCCAAAAAAATTGGTTCTTCGTTAGCTAAAATTTTTGGGGGGAGCAGAAACTTTTTATTCGTAATGCTTAAACATGGGCAACAGGTGGATTTTTCGATCTCGCGAAGTTGACTTCTCCTAGTGAGCCGACTTCCTGCCTGTTCCTCATTGGTCGTCTAATGATCACTGAGCCCAAAAAATTGGTTCTTCGTTAGCTAAAATTTTTGGGGGGAGCAGAAATTTTTTATTCGTAATGCTTAAACATGGGCAACAGGTGGATTTTTCGAGATCTCGCGAAGTTGACTTCTCCTAGTGAGCCGACTTCCTGCCTGAGTCCTAGTTGGGCCTTGAAGGTATTCCACGGGTTCAAAGCGGTTGCATTACGTATATTTCGACTTGGGTGTCAGTTTTTCAGAAAAGCTCAACTTGAGGAAATGAGAGTTTTCTCGAAATTTTATACTTTTTCTGTTTTATTTTGGTTTTTTCGTGACTTCAATTGTATCGATTGGGTGGTTTTGGAGCTTACATTGTTAAGAATGCATGCATGAACGTTACTAGCTGATATCGTGATTTTTCGTCACACATAAATAAAGATTTTGATGTTCGTTTTTTCGAAAATGTCGCAAATTAGGCTGAAAACTCTGCTTTCTTTCAATTTGTCGAGTCCACATCCGATTTTCGGCATGGCTATAGCGTTTATTCCCTTCTGCAGTAGCTGCTGCTTCATGCAGTTGAGGCTTCTTGACAAATCGTAGTATGTTGGCTTGTCAAAAAATTGTGGTTTTGTGACTAAATTGAAAATTGACTTGTTTTCCCAAGGCAAAGAAACTGAAACTGATGATCCAACTATCGGTGTTTCAATGCTTTTTAGGGTTGGTTTGATGCATGGGTAGGCGCTGCTGATCTGCTGTGCTACTCCTTTTGCCATTTGAAAGTCACTTGAGACGCAGTGAGCTATAGAGCCAGGGAACTGTAGGACATCACCTGATCCCACAAAGATATTTGGTTCATATATTGCATTTACCGAGTCTTTGCTGCTTCCAGGTCCATCTTTTTGTTTAGTGAATTGTTTCGCTCGTTTAACGCTGTCCATAATAATGTTCCTTTTCGAATCCCGTGAAGGAAAGTCTTCATTCGCCGCCTCCGCTTTCTTTCGTATGTTTGCTTTATTGTCCTTTTGCGTTGATCGTGGAATGAATGTAACTGGGGCCACTTCGT